TTATGATATGTAAAAATATTAGTGTAAACACTAATTTTAATCTATAAACAAAATTGGTATCTTAAAAAACATCACCCATGTATTTGTGTGATTTCAGTAATTTATTATTTGATAATAACCATGTTGTATGACAGTAACCCTGTCCATCCGCTGGACTAGTAGTACTTATGTTATTTGTCCCAAAGTTATATTAAAAGAGACTCTAATCGTTAGGTGAATTGAAACTTTCATACTTATTTTACATGAAAATATATTTATTATATGCAGAGTTTCTTTCTTTTTTTGCAAGCAAGATTGCAAAATTGAACCATTAGATGGGAAAACTGCTAACACTTAAGGCCTTTACTTCTAAAAGTAAGTTTTGTACAATTCAACACAATCTAAACTATACGAGCCTTCTGTTATCTAACAGTCCCATTGAGAACTGAAGGCCAAAATTTGGTTCAATTTTAAATAACCAATGTGCAGTTCGTTTTTAAAAACATTGCCTGATACTCCTATAAATACCCAAAAACAACAAAGCCTGTTTAAAGCAACCCATCTCCTGCATCATAAATCAAAGATAGTTTAACCAATAACATAGGCATGCATGTACTTTCACCAACCATCAAACTCATGTTGATCTCTTTTACAGAGATGCTGAAAATTCTCTCCCAGGTATGCATGATATTAGCTAAGAAGGCGCCCTAAACAAGCTCCAGAGCCCATTCTATAGGAACAGAAAGGAACTCAAGTCCCATCATCAGGTTGCTTTAAAGAAACCATATTCTTGTCAGGTTGCCTGTAACAATTCCTTGATATCATATCCTTGCAGCTACAGAAACACAAACCAGAAACAAAGAAGTTTCATTGATTTGATTTACTCCATGAAGAAAATGAGGTGTTGAACTCTTGATCATGCAGATTCCTAATAAAGCCATTGGAAGTGAAAATTTACCTGAAGAAAAGTAAGAAGCAAAATGACGCCAGAGTTCCAGAAAGCATGGATTGTAATGGGGGTCATTAGATTGCGAGTTTGAGCATATGAAAATCCCAAAGCAGTGCCTACATTTATACCATCAAGTTCTGTTATTTTCATAAGTGATGGAAAAATCTGATATCTGTAGGAATGTCCATAAACTTTAATATATTAATAATCACAACAGAACATATTGATACACATATTACCTAGCACAAACAGCTGGGGAAACTCTCCAGGAGTGAGATGTGCAAGAGCAAATACAGCAGCACTGATAACTATAGAAATTGGAGTAGGAACCCTGGATGAATTATTAAGGAAAGCATGAATGTCAAGAATTTGATAAGAGACTCAAACCATTCTTAGCATCCAGAACACAAATAAATTGAAATATCAATATTTTGTTTTCCTAGATGAAATCTCCAACACAGGAGAGAAGACAGAAAAGTGTTTTAGGAGTAAAATAAAATAAATGGAAATGTTCTGACTAAATATAAGCAAAATAAAAAGTTGAGTCATTGTTTTGCAATGCTAAAGACCCAAGGCATGAAAGGTAGCCTTGTATCAATATTTCGGCTTAGACTACTAGTTTAATACTTCTGTTAGCAACGTATCTTCCTTATGGGCATGATTGATCTGCTTCCATTTTGGACTTGTCCAGGTCTTTTTAGAAGCTTCAACAGACCCATAACATGCTTAACACCAACAACAGTTATCAGTAAGAAATAAGTTTCATCTCAGCCAATCTCTATCATCATTTGGACAGAGGCACATCTTCCAGTTTAGAATGAATATAATTTCTACTTTTATCTTGTTAAACCACCTATATTGCATACCTTCTATGCAAATTCCATATTTTTTACATTTTGCATTGTAAGATGGAACAGTTTTATGCCATATCATACAAGCTCATGTTTGTCCAGTAAATTATTCCCTGCTGTTGATACATTACTTGAACAAACAATCACAAAATATTTGGGAAAGGCACAACTATTCAACACAAGAAGCAGCAACCACGGGCCACAAACTCTTTCCCCTATTTATGCAATCAGAATAGACACTATATCAGGCAAAATTAACCAAGCAAAACAAGAACCTGGCAAAATGTTTGAAACAATGGGTGCAAAAAATGGATAAATCTTATCCATATATTTACAAGGAGGCTCAGCATGTTTCTAGAATGCAACTAAGACAAAGAAGCTGTAACTAATCAGAAAAAGGAATAGTAAAAGTACCACTTTGTCAATGACACCATGAAAAACCCTCGAAAGACTGTCTCCTCAAGAACTGGAGCTAAAACACCAGTGATGCCCAACAAGCAAGCAGTGCTACAAAACAAGTCAATACATTGAAATCAGTTCTTAAATTTTGAGGGGGGGAACATGCTCAATTCTGACAAATTCATTAACCACAATAAAAAGAAAAGATCCAGTGTAAGTACCTGATACTTGAGGATCCAATCAATGGAAGCAAGCGAACTAGGGCATCAGTCTGAAATGAAGTTGAAGAAACTTATAAATGATCCATTACGTGGTGGAGACATAAAATGTTTGAAAACCATGCCATCATCAAAACTATAACTGCACATCAACCAATCTAAATGACTGTTGGTGTGAGGACAACATGCAGTTGAACAACTCATTCAAAACTCCAAGTCCATTACTTTACTTATTTATTCAGGTAAATGTAAGTGAAATCCTATTGGATGTCCATTTGCAATAATCAATTTTCAATCCTTTCTAACCTCTCTTTGCAGGTCTTGACCATGAAAGAGGGACATGGCAGCTCCAGTTAACCCAATGGCAATAACAGCACCAACTAAACCAACTGCTGCCCACAAGAGCCATCCTTTCTGCAGATTGAACGGTTCCCTCAAATCTGAAACAGAGTTAATTCAACATCAAACAGCTGCTAATTTAACTCACAAATAAATATTAGAATAATTACAGCAAGAATCTCCTTTTTCTTTTCAACCAATTAGTGCCAACAAGACTTAAATCTCAGTTTCAAAAACAAATTTGAAAAGCTGGTACAAAATACAGTTTTTCATGCCAATTTAAATGTAGCCTAAATGAACAAAGTAAATGTTGATAGGGAGTAATACTGTGATAGAGACATGCAACCAATAGATAAGCTAGCCTCCCTGTTCATAGAAAATAAGCATCTAAAGAAGCTTCCAATAACAAATACCATAGCGATATATGTCTTCGGGAAGTGGTTGAAAGGTTTGAGCTACAGTATATAGAACTCCAAGTACAACTGCTGTTGTAATGCTGCCAAAACAATAGAAAAACCATAATTACATCTAGTTTGGCCTTCAAACAAGCCTAAAATTGAATAGCATTACCATTTAACAAAGAAAAAAACACAGAGAGTCCAGAAAGTTTACTTGTGAAATGCCAACAAAATTATTAATTGACATCAACTGAAAATATAACAAACACTGAAACAAGTTTTACGCCTCTATTAAATGCAACTGGGCGACTCTTTGTCCATGACAGAACATCCATAGAAAGAAAAAGACCCCGACACTTAAAAGTCAAAAACTTTATGTCAATATCATGCATGCAGGTGATAAAAAAAGTAAGAGGCACAGAGATTTAAGTTCTTAACTTCCTAAGAACTTTCTCACATGAACATCCAAATTTTCTAACATATACCATCAAAACTATAAAGTAACCCATAAATTATACAAAGTTGAAGTCTAGCCTCTACAATCTAAATTTGTATGATTAAAATGGAAAGTGATCCAACCTCTGATCCAAAAACAGTATCTCTGCCTTCTCATCCACCGTTAGCTCTTCAATTTTAATCCCAAGTTCTGGTATAGCTGCTGTCTCAGCTAATCCTGTCAAAACAAAACTGCCTGGGAAATAATTAGTTTCACTCCATACACAGTAGTAAGAAACCATTAGGCATAATTTCAAAGCAATAATAACAGTAATTACTCTCTTTTCTTACTATATTGTTAAAACCAAGGCAAAAACATTTCCATGAACAAGATTACATTTTCAAATCCAAATTCTTCTGTTAACAGTAAAACACACCTTAATCCACACGTTAGAGAGGTTAATGAAACTGTCGGCCAGTCCCATGGCACCTCCCATCGCTTGAGAATTGGCCATTCCAATCCAGTTTCCTAGTAAAATCAGAAATCAATCAATATTCAGAAATTTGGAACAAATTCAGACGATGAGGTTTATGAAAACTGAAGCATAAAACAGGACCAGACCTTGTCTTGGAAATCAGATTTGGAGTCTTTTCCGGCGTTGAAGAAGCAAACTGAACGGAGTCTTGTCTTGGGAAGTAGAGTTAATCTCTTCTTGGAGAAACTTAAAGATGCGTATGTTCGGTAAGAGAAAATGGGGTGAGTTTGTTTGGCTAAAGTTCTGGGAGAATCATGGAGGCAGCGGAAGGTAGCTTGAGCCACGCATGTAATCAGGGCGGATACCATGGTTCGTTGTCTGACAAATGTCGTAGACGGTGTTGTTTTGAAGAGAGAAGTGAACTCCAGCCGCTTGCAAGGGGATAAGGGTCTGGGTATTGTTCCAAAGAATTTTCTAATTGAGCCATCTAACTTTAGCCAGGTTTCCGTTGAGGCCCAACTATTTTTTGGCAAGGAGGTTATTGAGTGTTTTGAGTAAAAATAGGGAACTCCAATTTAGAAATATAGAGCGGAAGTGAGTGGCTTGTAAGGCACTTCAACAAAGCTAAATTAGAATTCATGTCAACAAATCTTGGTTCTAACTGGTGAATCAAAAGCCTTAAAATGAGATTTCAAGATTTAATTTTATCATATACAAGTTCTGTTGCATTTGATATTTTTATTATTCAATTAATTTTACTTCTAATTCAAAATTATTTAATATCTATACAAAGTCATTATATAAGGATATTTTTCAAGTTTTAAGTAGCAAATTGGATTTGTCTTGTTGCCAAAACCCAATTTGAAAAGGAGTAATCATAATGCCCGTCGTCCTCATGTGAAATCGAAATGTTAAGAATGAGGTTGAGCAATTAAAGGCACCATCTTAGCAAATATTTTCAAATTTAAAATCACACAAATCAATTGCACATAGCCATTGGAGAAATTAAAGACAACATCTTAACAAATTCCTTCAGTGAAGATATCAAATGAAATCTCAGGTTAACCATTAGAGACAAGAAATAGTAAGGATAAAGACTCCAACTTTTGAAAGTTTATTAGCAATTAAAAATCTGAATTTGTTGAGAATCTTACCGCTTTAATTTTTCTATTTAAGGTTTTAAATTTATTAATTTTATTATATATGACTTTGTTGAATAGAATGTTGAAGTAAAATTCTTAATTTTATTATAACCCGCAATAACGACTTTATCTTGTATGGTTAGGAAAACTCAAAAACCTATTCTCATCAGCACCACGCCATCTCTACCCTCTCTCATAGGCACTGCCTGAGAGGCCCAAGGAAAGAAGAACTAGAAAACTAAAAGGAACACTATCCAAACAAGAGTTAGGATAGGATGAATACTCCCATGGGAAATCCTAACAAAGATGCTCTCTTTTGTTAATTTTAACAAAAGTTTTTATTTAATTAAGTACTACCCTAATTAAGATTACTAGATGTTAAAACACTCACCCTCTGTATCTAGGTCATGCTATAGTTATACTATCACTTAATATTATAAACTTAATTACAATATAATATGTCATTTTATAATTAATTTTTTTTTAATAAATTTACTTATAATATTGTATATATCTATTTATTTAATATTATATTATATTTATTTAATATCATATTTATAATCTTACATACTATTATTATACCTATAGCAATTATCATTTTCACATAAAAACAGTGTTTTCTCTCTGTTTCTCTCTCTCTCTTTTTTTTTTTTTTATTTTCTTTAAAAAATTATTAGATTGTAAAAAAAATCCTAGCAGAGAAGCATTTTATTTAACATTTCCGACCACTCCCTCACACCTTCTTCCTTTCTCCTTATCTTCTCCTTCTTTTCTTTGCTCCTTTTCTCGTCATCTGCTGTCCTTCCATCTCCAATGGTGGAACTAGGATTCAGTTTAGGGGAGGGTTTTACATTGTAACATAAATATCTGCGCACTGAATTACCAAAGGAGAAATAACAATATCAAGAATATAGATATTAATCAAAATAACAACAATGCTAAATATTAAATAAAACAAAAATTAAGGTATCTTAACATTTTAATTCTTATAATTGTTTGTAAAAAATTTTAAATTACCTTAATCAATTTTTTTTGTGTTATTTAAATTTTTCATTATTATTCTCGATATTTTAATTATCAAAATATCTTAATCTTTTATAATCCATAAATAAATATAGGGTGCCCATCTAATCTTTTGTATCTCTGTATTTTATTTCCACTTATGTTTACTATAAATGTTTTGTTTGTTAATACTTTACATAGACCACAGAAACTTTAATTTTGAATATATTTTTATTATTTTTAATTAATATTATATATTCTTTATAGTTAAATAAAAGAAAATTTATAACTACAGCACATAACAGACGAACCAAGCTTAAGATTGTCCGATCTTGATCAACGAATCAAGATTTTCCTCTTATATTGATGCCGTGTAGCTTCTTTAAAATGCAAATGAAATTACTTTGTTTTCAAAAGAGGAGTAAGATGGTTCTAATTCCAGATTTCCCAAAACAAATGGCATTTTCCGCGGGGCCAATGCCTCAACACAAATCCAAGACCCGAAATTTCCAAAACCCGGGGCCTTGCGAGTTGAGACTGTCGGTGGGTCTCGTCCTTCATTTGAATAACACAAAATACAATATTTTGGCATTATCGAAGACTTCAAAAGCCTTAACACCATCAATTCCAACTTCCAAGCATCATTATAGCGAAAGCTGGAAATTACTCAACGTGCTTGTATTGATAATGGGATTGATTAAGCCCACACCGACCTTCTTTTTTTTTTTTCCTTTTTTCTTTTTTACGGTCAATTATGATATTTTAAATTAAATTATAAGAGTGTATAAGATGATTTTAATTTGTTAAATAATAAATATTATTTATTATGTTATTTATTTGTTAAATTTTTAATTATTAATTTTTTTAATAGTTAAATTAGAAAATATTATTTTAAAAGATAATATTTAAACATTTATGTGACCCTAACTATGTATTGTGTGGCCATAATGTGTGGCCATAATCATATTCATTGATTATTGTTATTATTAGTCTAATGTTATATTAAATGAATAAATTATATATGATTATTTAATAAATAATTTCAATTATAAATTGATATATATTAATCTCTCTATATTATAATTATAGTGTTGGTTTTAGGGACGGTTTAATATAGGGCATGAAATCTAATGGTTAATAATTAGTGGATAGCAAATAATAGACAATAAACAGTAAATAATAAATAATAAATAATAGTAATAAATAGTAAATAACACATAATAAGTAGTGGATATTAATTTTAATATAACTGTTTGGTTATTGTAGTTATTATTTAGTATCAAATAATAAATAAACACAAATTCAAAAAGTAGTTAATTTTTTTTTAACACTAAAATAATTTATTATTACTATTGTTATTGTTATTATTACCATTATGCAATTACAAAATAAAACATTATTATATTATTTTCGGTGAAATTTTAATTTCTTGTTTCTAACTTTAACGCAAAAAATTTAAAAATTCTCTACTAATTAATTTGTGATTATAAATTAAAATTTTTTAAAATTAAAAATTAGTTACCAACACATTAGATAACAAAAAGAGAAAGAAATAAACAAATTAATGATAAAATTAAGAATTAAAAAAAGCTAATGTAAAAATGGGAGGGGAGAAGTTGCACTTGTATTTTATATCTAATTAATTTACATGTAAATTTTTCATAATAATTTAAAATTTTTAATATGCTCGTGATATGGGGTGAAAAGTTAATTTAAGAAGGCTTTTTAATCTACTAATAGATTAGGCTCTAACCACTAATTATTAACTAAAAATTTTTATTCAACACCAAATAGTTAGCATTGTTGAAAAAAAAAAATTATCGAATACTATTATATAGTAATTTGAATAAAACCACTAACCCTAAGAAACTATACTAAGCACCTTTTTAATTTGACTTTTTACTTTTTTTTTTATAAGAAATGAAGAAATATATTAAAAAAATAAGAAAATATAGTAGAATCTCCATCAAAGGCATATAGCATAAAGCATAAAGCATGATAGCCTAGAGAAAAATCAAAAGCATAACCTATAGCACTAGTAACGGATTTAAACTATGCTCATGACGAATTTAGACGATTAAAAAAAGAGAGCCATTTGCAACTACAGATTATTACAATTGCAGTCGTTGTATAGGCTAAATAGAGCTACTAAAGTAGAAAAGAGAGTCACTATGGGCATCAAAAACTACTGGACATCCCCACCTATTTAACCAGTTTCATGGGGGAGTAAGGATTTTGACAACAAACAGTCCCCAACCTGTAGCTTGCCACCTTATCTATGCTTGAAAATTAACCAACAAAAAGAGGGGTATTAACCCCATCAATGCAAACATGAGCCCCATCTTTTCCAATCCTCAGTAATCCCTTGCTACCCAAACTGTTGAAGGGAACTAAAGCCCCTTTACTACCCCTAATACTATTAGCCCCGTGCAAATCACAACCTGCTTCATCAATTAAATCCTTTTTCTCTTTGCTTATCCTCCGGACAAGACCAAGGCACTCCAATCGTCGCCAAGTACACTCCGATCGTCGCCAAGTACACTCCGATCATCGCCGAGTACTCCAAATCATGCTCCCATCGGTGCTGATCCACTACAAACCCTGCTTGTTGGCAAAGCTTATTAAGGGAAATAGATTTCCTTTTCCATCGTGAATAGTATACTTCCTATGTAGCCCAGAATCAGAATCACTAATAGTGTCCCTGTTCTTTTGTATGCGGGGACCAGATTGAAGAGTGGAGTGCACTAGTGTCTCCAAAAACAACCTTCACCAAGATCCCATTCGAAATTGAAGATACGCCTAAGCAAGATTTGTACTTGGTGAATAGGAGGCAGGATCAATTCCCTCGTGATGAAGCCATTGCCGTCAGAAGGGTAGATCGAGAGACGCCATTGCCTTGTGGTCCCTTGGGTTGAAGTTTCCAAAACAAGACAGACAACGAAGGTGGAGTAGAGAGCAAGAAGGGGAAGGAAAAGGTAAGAGGAAAGAAGAAAAGGAGGAGCTCCAATGCCGAAGAGGGACCCTAGGGAAGAACCTGTCGCCTCTAACCCAACCCTAAGTAAAGCACATGAGCAATTTGACTTTTTACTTTTAAGACAACATTTATACAAAAATTCAACATAACAAATGAATATCAATTAATTTTTTTTCCTTATTTTTAAATATTATTTAGCAGTTTCGTTTTATAGAAAGAAATTTTAATTATCATTTTTATGCTACAATAAATTTTTACTTAAATTTTTATTTTATTTTTATAAAATAAATTAATTGGTTGAAAGTTGAATCTCTTATTGAGAAAAATGAATATGGATGGAAAATGAAGGTTTGAACCTAATTATACAAGTGAGGAAGCACTTTATGCAAATAATTAAAATGTTTATTTTAAAAGTTAAAAAAATGGACTAGAATAGTTAAACGAAGATAGTATATTATACCAACTACATTAAAAAAACATCATACACTTATTATTTTCATTGTTGCCTGTAACATGATATGGAATTCTATAAGGGTGCATTTGGTTTAGTTAATAATGACAATTTATTATTATTTTTTTCTCAACTACAATTAGGTTTTTAAAAACATATTTTTATAAGTTATTTTAAACAAAATATAATTATCAACTATATTTGGTAATTATAATTATTAATTATTTTTAATAACGAAACCAAACAAAGCCTTAAGAAGTAAGTAAGATATGTTAGTCTGATTTAAGTTTATCTCGGTGTTCTGGAGCACAACCTCTGTGACCAGAGTGTTGAGAACTCAGATCCAAACCACTAGATGCACCGACAGGGATGGCAGCTTCAATCTATCTCACCCCGATCATCACGGTCATTAATTCAAGCCAGATCTAGATCGTCGTGGGCCCCATACTTCCTTTTGGTAGCTCAGGTACCCTTCATTGGCGTGTGGGTCCATCCTGCATTGAGCTTGTGCACACAGCTGTGCGCACCGCATTGCTCACCACTGTTTGGCAATTCTTTTGTTTCTGGAAAAACGACCTTTCGCTCCCAAGCTTTTAAATTTTTCAATCGAGCCCTCAAATTAGTTTTCTGACCAATTAAACCCTTAACGTGCTAACTTTCCATATACGTATAATTCTCTAAAGAGTAAGAAAAATGATTCAAGCATATTTTTTATATTATTTTTAATATAATTTTACATATTATTTAGATAATTAATTAATTATTTAAAATTTATTTTATTATATATATTTACTCATTTAATAATATTTAGAAGTTATATAAAGAAGTTATCTCTATGTTATTATTCAAAGATTAAATACTTAACTAAAATTTTTTTGATTGATTTAATATTATGACAAGAAAAAATTTGTTAGGTCATGATAATTGTTGACACTCCTATTGATTTTTTTTTTATCAACTAACATTCATAGTGGCTGATTGATTGTTTAACTCTACTAGGCCTAGAGAAAAGTATTCTAACTTGAGTGTAATAGTTGATGATATCCAAAAAAAAAAAAAAAAAAAA